AAAAAAGCCTAGTAGCTCCTTGAAGTTCAGGCAGTCTTTACAGCTGTTATCTAAAAAAAAAAAAAAAAAAAACGGCCTGCTTTTTCCAGAGTAATAGAAAAGCAAAGGGCAAAAGTCTTATTATATATGATTATATATGATTTTATTCCTTTTTCTTACAGTCCTGTGAAATTGGTAGGCAGCACAGAAAATGACCTCATCAGCCACTCACCCTTTGAAGACCCCCAGAGTGATACAGTTTGGGAGACAAACTTAATTGAAAAGTTGAACAGAGAAAAAGGCATCTTTCTACAGTCAAGTGTGAATGATGATAACTTTCAGAGGGTGACTGAGAAAGAAATTCAGACCAGTGAAGTACAGCCTGACATACAAAGCAAAAAAGTTGTACAAGACTCTCTGCTTTCACAAGGCAGCAAAACTAAACAAGTAAGTATTATCAACCAGATTTTTGTTTTATGAAAGTAATTTTTAAATGTATAGATTTTTAGACTTTGTGTCATTTGATTATGCTCTGATGTTTAGAAATTAAGACACTGTTGCTTTTTTCTTGAAACTCTTATATTGACATTGCTCTTGTTAGAGGTAGCCAAATACAGTGGACTTGGGGACCAGTGGAATTCTTCCTAACATGTGCAAGGCAGCTGCAATGCCATGTTCCCAGCTCAAGCTAGTACTGAGTTTGATCATGTGAAGGAGGGGCATGTATAAACACAGAATAGACTCAGAATAGGGAGCGTATATACATAATCAGAGTTCAATAAGAATATAGGAGAGACTGCAGTGATCAGTGTCGAACTGAGTCAGAAAAGTATACTGACCAACACCATCATGTCACCATCTTTTTTTATCTGATTTTTCCCTCTATTTCCCAAACTTACTCCTTTACCTACTTTTTGTTCTTTCCCTAAACTTGCTGCAAGTTTTGCACATTTTACAATCCTCTTAAACATTTTGTAACAAGATTTACACAATCCCAAATCTTTTCCCTGCATCCACAAATTCTTTTCTCCTTGCATCCCCTAAATTAGCTTCACACTTCTTCATACAATCACCTCTTATTGTCTGCAAGGCATTGCAGGGAGAGAGGTTTGGCTGATTTATCCTGGTAGATTTCTCACCAGGGCAAACAGGCTTGAGAGCTGTGTGCTCTGTTTGTGATGATCAAGTTCAACAGGGTTCCTCTGCCTGCCACTGTTTCTCTCTTCATCGCCAGGTTTCTGTGTTCACTGTGTCTTTAGTCAGGACCGACCTGCTTTGTTAAGCAACAGATCCTGTAATGTAATACAATTTCCCAGAACAAATAAACTTCAGTACAAAATACTTTCCCTATATGTGCTTCTGAAGTAATACAATTCTGCAGATTTACATACTGCTACAAAAATAATGCTTCCCATCAGCCTGAGTCTTACAGCTGTCTAATTTTGGTAAATGGTTCTATGGGTTTTTTTAGTAGTGAAGGCTAGCTTGAGATTACAGTAGAACCTTAGGCTTGTTTTAAACATATATGTTCTATCACAGGCTCTTCGGTCTTGTTCCTTGAAGAGTGAAAGATCAGAATCAACTAAACCAATGTCATACAAGAATATCAGAACTTCAGCACCCTTACATAAAAAGAAACCTTCATATGGTCCTCATGGGCTGGTTAGAAGTTCTGGCTATGGGAAACCCAGTTCACTCTCAAGACAGCCTTTTCCAGTTAGTGAGAAGAAAACACCAAAAGAAACTTTCAGAAAGACCTGTATGAAAGCCAGAAGTCCTGCAGATAGAGCAAAATCTAAAGGTAATTCTATGGTAAAAAGTCTTGAGCTTTAAGAGCCAGAGAGTTTTGCTGATCATGCTTCACATTTAAAAAAAAAAAACAAAAACACACACACAAAAAAAATTCCCAATGTTGTAGAAGAAATCTAAATCCTAATGCAGGTAAGTACTGATGATTTTTTTATTAGTATGAAGTTGCTGGGAGAGAGACTTTCAAATAAATCTTTGCATTGTAGTCTTGTTTCATTTCCACTCACATATACCACCACTAAGTTTGAGACTTATCTACTGTTCACCATTAGGACCTAAACAATAGAAAAAACTAGTGTTTAAAATTGAATACCTACAATTTTTCATTACAGTAAATTCAGAGATTTGCTGACACAGTAACTTCTGTGTTTGAAGCCAAATTTCTGTTCTCAGCTTCTTCTGATCATTGCTATCCTAGAGTACATAGAAAATACTAAAAAAAAAGTCCTATTTTCTGTTCATGTGTCTTGTAACACTATGGAAAGGAGAATACCAATGTAGTCCTGTAAAAACTGAGTTGCAAGTAAAGGTCCGAACCTTTTTATTTGGGATGAAGTCTGAAGAGTTTCATGAGATGATTCAGCTTAGCATCTTTGCAGACGATGTTTGCTATTTCTGAGGCATGAGAAAGTAACTCTACAGATACCCACGTTTTAGTGCATTTTGAGCATGCAGTGATTTTAAAAACCCTGAAAATAGTGTTGGGAAAAGCAGTTTAGGATTATGGTACCTGTCTTAGGGAGATGCCTCAGTGGCAGCAGTCAAACTGAGGTCCTCAGTGTATTGTTGTGTCATTCATTCCCTGGGGAAGAGAAGGCTGGTGAAGTTGGTGAAGTGACTGATGAGTACCAAGAAAATCATTGAATCAAAGAACGAGGCCACTAGCCTCATTCAAACATGCTTTTCTCTCTCTAGCTATAACCATTCACCATAGCAATTTCAGGTGATTTCAGAAGTTAATCTCACTTGGCTGCATTCTGCAGGGGCCTCTGTAGCTAGCAAGAGAATGGCACTGAATCAAACAATCCTCATTATCAGCACTAAGGGAGCACCCTTGGGAGGAAATAGTGTGAGACATGTAAAAGGTATTAAATTTGAAACAGGATCATTGTCTATTTTTCTTTTCAGGTATAGCATTCCTAAGCAGGAGCGCTGTGCTTAAATTAATAGGCAGAAATGAAATGGTAATTGTAGTTGCTATCTGTATTTCAGAGAACTGAGAAGTAAATATTTCATTTATGTTAGTTACTCTAGGTGAACTTTCCTGATTTTTAGCTCCGTTCAAGTTGCTATTTGATGCAGAAAATAAATGTTGCATTTCTTTGTATGCCGTCTGCACTCCGAAGTCCGTTTTGAAAATTGCTATGCTTTATCTTCACTGTAGCTTGAAATACGTTGTGTTTATGCATACTTAGAGAATTGGCCGCTTCTCAAGCAGAGAAATTAACTTTGTTTCATGAAGTATTTATTATCCAGATACTTTTTTCAGTTGTTGGTTTGTTTTTATTTTATCTTGTCACCAGTTCCTTACTTAAAAAAAAAAAGCAAAAACCTCCAGTTTTTCCATAGTATCTCATTGCTCTCAAGTTCTTATATTTAGTTCAAAATTCAGGTTGTAGAATTATAATAATTTATATACTTTAGGTATATAGGGTGGATCACATGAATAGATTTTTTCTTAAAGGGCATTAAATTCTGTATTTAATTTTATTCTATTTTACTTTCTGCCTAAATGAAGAAGCCTTATTTGCTACTAGGATAATAAGATCTGCAGTGAATGAACCAACTTTGGAGAGAAGTATTAACAGAGTTTTGTCTGGCCAATCAGTTGTTAATAGTCTTGAACACCAGGCTGTGGATTCTAAGAGGCATGTAAGTAAAAACCAGTGATTCTCCTAAATATAGTACGCACAAGTTGGTTTGCAGGCCTATTTTGTGAAGACATTTACCAATTATCACAAGATTGACTTAATTCAGTATTTCAGTATTTACCTAACACTAGTTTTTTCTTTAAAAATATGCAAGTGTAATCATACTGCTATTCAATTGCTTGCATAATTCTGTTGCTTGGGTGGTTCTTTATAATTAAAGTTGCTTATTAAATTCTAAAAATTACTATTTTGAGGTAAAATACGGTTAAATAAAACTTCTACTTAAATACTCTGAGTGTCAAACAGTACTACTGTTTAGGGTTTTTTTCCTATTTGCATTGCATTAAATATTTAATAATGTCTTCTGGCTTCTCTAAGATGACTGAATTTGCAGCACCATGGTAGATTTTCATTCTCCCTTATCAACTGTGTAAAAAAACTATTCATTGAATACCTAAAGCATTAGTGATTTTCAAAAAGTGAGATGCATAATAGAATAATTCTGGTAGCAATGTAGTGGCTGTCATATGCGAGGTATTTTTCTTGTTGGTTTTTTGGTTTGTTTTCCTCATGTATAATCTGGAAATGAGAAAGTAGCTCAGTAAAGTAAATGCAGGATGTTTTGCTATTAGAATGTTGGGGAGTTTGAGTTGTTTGTTGGGTTTTTTTCCTAGTGCTTTATGTGGTTGCTGAGAGCCAGACAAACTAGTTAAATGAAATTGATGAGCAGAGTTCTGGTAAACAATCAGCTTTAGTGTAACATTTCCCTGAATTCTCTTCACTAGGAGTTATCATTTTCTCCTATCAGAGGTTGTGATAGAGAACTATATTTGTTGAAACGAGTACAAACTGCAGAGGAGGACCTGAACGCAGCTCGGGATTTGATTCAACAACTGTCCAGCAAGGTTTCACAAAAAGAGAAAGAAATGGAGACAAAGATAATAGAATTGAAAACACAGCATGAAAAAGAACTTTCTCATCTGGGTCAGGAAAATTATGTTCTTCAGAGTAAGGTACTTTATCAGCTTGTATCCTGTCCCTATAGAAGAGGAGGAACATAGCTTCTTGAAATGAAATTATTGTTACTTTACATGAGTTTTTCCTGAGCAGAAAAAACCAGATGTACAGATACTGCTACTTTATAAATGCATACCTGCAGTTATATTTATTGCTTATTTTTTTTCTTCAGAGATAAACTAGGTTATCCTGGGTTCCCTTACTTTGCCATTTTGAGAGTTCTACAGCAAGTGTTTTTGCAAAGATTTAGTTCAGTCTCACAGAGATTACCAGATACCACTTGTTATAGAAAAGTACTATATTTTGAGATACTGTTTTTAGGTTTTGATGCATTTTTCAGTGTTGCCTTTTGTCTGTATGAAATATTGCCAGAGTTATTCCACTATACCCTCCTGCCTAGATACAAGAGAACAAAAGAGGTAGTGTAAAACTTTAACTTTTCCCAAGTGTTTTCTGTTTCGTAATGCTTCTGTGAACCTCCAGTAATAAGAGTGGCTCATGGGTCTGCTGTCATACCTTAATGAAGAGATTGAACTAATAATATTATAAAAGTGTAGTCTTGTAGAGAATTCCATATCACTAACAAAAATTTCTTATTGCTTGTGTGTCATTTTCTTCCTGAAAGTTAAGAAGTATGGAAGAGATGGCTCAAGAAAAGAGATGGACCCACCATACAGCAGCAATTCCTGTAACTCAAGAAAAACTGACACAAATACAAAAAGAAATTGAAGATCAAGAGCTCATTATTCAAGGTTATCAGCAGGTATACCACCCCGCATGTTGAGCTGTGTTCTAGCCGGTGTCAGAAACAAAGTTGTTTAATGGTTATTACTTTTACATGAAAACAGTTATCTTGCTGTCTAAAAAGTGGATGAAATTTGGGTGTGATGGGCAAACATACTGCATATTTAAAAAGTATTTCACATGTGTCTAGTTTGGGCTGAGTTTTTCTACAGTCCCGTGTATCCATTGTAAAAATCACTGACTTGTCAGTTGAGAACTGGCAAAATACTTTATGGCAAATAAATAGGCACAAACTCTTTTCCCGAATGTAGAGGAAAAGTAGTACTTTTAAGCAATATTAAAAATCTATAGAGTTCTCTTTTTAAGATGTTTTTCTCAAAATCTCAGCAGCTGATTTTAAGGTAACCTTATTAGTGTGTCTGAATTTTATTACTTGGTCAAGTGTAGAATAGACAATGCACACTTAATCCTTTTGAATGCTTGCAAATCCAGTAGGTAATTTAACCACCTTCCAGCTGGTGCTCAACAGAGTTTCTTGGTATAGACACAAAGTCTTACCAGTATGGCTGTGAGCGTTCCAGATTGGTGATGGTTTGTGCCCACAGGATTGGAGCATGGGCAGGCTGAGCTCTGATCCATCAGCACCCACTCGTGAACATGCTTTCAGAATACAGTTGGGATAGCTTTGGAGAGGAACTGGATTAGATCCTCCAGAGTGAGCAGATGTTTGGACAGAATTGTAGATAATTAAAGTAGATACCCATTTCAGAAGCTTAGTAATGAAATATTTAGTGTTTGCTTCCACTTGCAAACTATGCAAGTCATAGACAATTATTTTAGAACTGGAGAAAACAGTAATTTATCACCATTCTTTAACTTTGTCTCAACTTAGGAAAATGAGAGGCTATACAAACAAATGAAAGATCTACAAATCCAAAACAAAAAAAATGAGGAACAAATGTTTAAGGAGAATCAGTGTTTAATGTCTGAATTAAGAGACCTAAGGTAGGCTTATTTACACATCTGACCTTAAATCTCTGGAGTTTTCAGCTGTGTATTATTTTATATGTGAAGAACCATTGCAGAGTCTGTCTGGTGCATATTTGCAAGTTTTTCCTGGGTTTGTGGGTTTGTTTCTTCTTTTGAGAAATGATTTATGTTGATTATGGGCACTTAATTCTTAGTTTTCTTGATGATGTTGCAAACCTGTGGGAAGACTAGAGTCTCCCACTTGGGGAATATTTCAATGTTCTTATTCATATCAGAATGTGTGATACACACACTACATTTGTTCTGGTGTTATGACTCTGCTGATGTGTCAAAATGTTTTGATACTGCTGTAAGATACAGAGTAGTAGATAGCAGTGGGAGACACAAGCAATCCTGGTAGTGGAGGAGCCATTCAATTCAGTGCACTGTAGTTCCTGTAAGATTTTCATCCCGTGAGGAAAACGAGGAAAAATGATCTAGCCCTCATGTGTACTCCTAATCTACGAATCTTTGCTCTGGAGAGGCCCACATGTGGGTTCCACTGATGCAGAGTAGATTTTTATTTCCCTCCCTTGTGTTGTCCCAACAAACAAGTTTGTGTGAGGTGAGATGATTTCACCTCACAGGTGAATTTTTTTGTATAAAAATGTTTGTTGTGCATATTTGCTTCTTTCTTTCTATTGAACCTGCATGGACTGACTTTGTGGTACCTCTTGGGGGGGGGGTGTTTATTTTTCAGTATGCCACTCTTAGTATGCTGAGTGCATAACTGTTTTTGCTGTTGCTGTTTAGAGAAAAAGTAGAGAAGACTAATAACCAGTCACGAATTGTGCAGGATTCTGATCCAGCCAGAAATCAGAGTTTCACAGAATTGATTTCAGAGCTTCGAGCAGCACAGGTAGTTATATACCAAGCCTTATTTTCATGTGTTCTTAAGAAAACCTGCATTACCATCCATACTGTAGACTAATAATGTAAATAAAGTAGTGGAGCATGCTACTGTTCTACAGCATTAATTATTTTCCACATGTCACAAATATCAAATGAACTTTCAGAAGTAATCCTTTAAGACACAGATTCACTGAAAGAAGTGCAGTGTTGCCATGTTTACTGGCAATTCTGAAAGGCCTTGTGAGGGCTAGCAGAAACTAGTGATATACATCTCTGTATCTTTCCTGCATAAGACCAAGCCAGAAGATTGGTTATCCTTGCTGTGTACCAAGTAAGTTCTAGAAAAGAGCATTCGAGTAAAAAGAATTTTTTGTTATTCCCTCATGTAACTTCTTTTGTAGACCTACAGATGCTTCTGATTTTGAAGGGAGTGTGTTAAATAAGCTTCATGCTAAAATTAAAGGTCATCTGGAATTTCTGTTGCTCTGCTTACTGCAGGCAGGGGGACTGTTCTGGTACACACTGCCTCTGATAGTTAGACCAGAAAATTAAAATCTACCTCTTCCATTTTTTGTTGTTGTTTGTTGTGACCTTAGAGGTGATGCTGTTACACTTCCCTGTTCCTTAGGTCCAGCCTGTAATGAGACTGAACAGAAGATCCAAAGATGGAGAGAGACACACAGACAACACTAACATGGTCAGGCACACAGATAACAGAGTATACACAGAAATACAAATAATACTGTTGGAAACACAAGGAGCACATTTGGCCTGATACTGTTCAGCAGATCAGGATAGGAGTTCACTAACAGTAACACACAAACATGCACATTCTGGCCCTAGACATCAATCTGTTTACTGGCTGGCCCCAAAATCTGAGCCCCCCAGTTGCTGGTTGCTCTACCTGTGGATCCCTCAGACCAAGGGGCTCCATCTCCAGAGGTGGCACTGGCACTGCTACCTTTCATCCTTTTTTGTCTTGAAGTTTGCTAGTGATCATGGGTAGACAAACAGAAGAGACAGTGTGTGCAGAAAATGGCAAGAAATAGAATGTAATGAGGTGAACTGTTGGACAATACATCTGTCCATTTAACCTATAGCCTTAAGTCTCAGAAATAAGTTAAACCATTTTTTGTATTGACCCTCTCAAAAGGCAGAGGTTTTCTACTTCTATGACAGTTATGTAAGACTTAAAAAATGTTTGGGTTTTTTTTAATGCTTAGCTTAAGTTTTCCCCATGCTCTGCTGTAGCAAGGCTGAGAATAATACCAAAATTAGAAGACCTTATGGTTGCTGTGGTCTGACATGACTTTTGTGATTTAATCATTTATGATGAAAAGACATGTTCAGGGTTTTTTTGTGTGACATTATGTGTTTAGTTTTTCTTGTTTTACTGTTTTCTCTAAAATCCAGAAGGAAGAAGCTAAATTACAAGAAGAGATAAGACATCTCAAGCAAGATAAGCAAGCTCTCGAGGTAGACTTGGTACAAGCAAAGAAGGAGAGAGATTTAGCAAAAATCCAGATTACATCTGCATCAAGTAAAGCACCTTGATTTTGCTAAATAATTTTATCTGCTTTGCATATATAACAAAAACTTGGCTTTTATTAAAATATTACTTAGTGAAGTGCATCTAGACCATTTCCAAATATTGTCTAAACTTCTAATAAAAGCATACAGTAAAGGACATGTTACAATACTTTTGGAATTCTATTAGAAAGTGTTTTCCTGTATGAAACCAAACTCGTTGTTGTTGCGTGTTGATTTTTTGCCCATCTTTCATTGGACATGTAAAACAGAAGATTCCAGTTATGTGACAGCTCTGTTGATAAGAAAATGTTTACTATGTTGCATCTTAGTTTCCTGTTTAGATCTTGCTCATTTTTTTACCTGTAGTTTATGTCTTGGGACTTTTTTCAGGGTTTTTATCAGAGCTTTTTCCATTATTTCAATAATGAGAGAGGGCCAGAAACTGGACTCCCTCATTTCCAGTATCAGGCATCACTAATGCTAAGAGCAGATATTTACCTCTGTGTCTCTTCTCAAAGTATGATCTGATAAATGGGAGGAGTATGATCAATACACATCTAAGCATATATTCTATGTTGTCATTCATCTTGTGGCTGAAAATTTGTTGACGGGAATCTGATCAAGAATATCCCTGAGATTCTGTTTTAAATAATTTCCATGGTGAACTGCAAGCCATTGAGTACTACTATGTATGAGAGAAGAAAAGGGTTTTTTTCAAATATAGTTGCTTTTAAAATCCTAATTCGGATCTGGTTCAAAAATTTTCCTGCAGTAACGGCATTGTTAAAATAGTAAATGTGTGAAATGTGCTGAGGAGGATGGTGTTGAGTAATTACACCTTTGATACATAATTTTTAATAAAACCATTCTGAGGATATTTTATTCTTGTAGGTGATAAATCTTACGAATTTAAAGTTATGGAAGAATCATACAAACAGGAAATTACTCATTTAAAAAGAAGACTTCAGTGGTATGCGGAAAATCAAGATCTTCTGGATAAAGATGCAGCCCGTCTTAAAGATGCAAGACAAGAAATTGAGAAACTAAGACTAGAGGTGATAATATTTGGCTTTATCTAAGAAATTGGAACTTGAAATTGTTTCTTTTTCTAGTGACAAGTATAATGTAATTCTGTCCTTCATAATAATCCCTTTCTTTTCATGTACTAGTTTTGTTTTATTGGACATCTTGATGATGCTTCTGGAAACAAAAGTAATGTGCTTCCCTAAAACCTGCAGATTTTTTGACCTAAGGAAAAGAAATATATTATTACATCAGTAACTAGGGACATTATCTTTTTCACCTTTTTGCTCCATGGTAGCATAGGCAACACTTACTTTTTTTCTATCAAGTACCAGTTCTGAATTCCTTTTTAGAAAAAATCTCTGGTTACTATAGTAGGAAGGAAAAAGCCAAAACACTCAAAATATAAACAAAACTAATACATGAACCTTGAATACTGCTGAGATTTGAATTGCTGAGCTGTCAGTACATTGGACTTAGGACTCACAGAAATGAAGAATTTTACCAGTGATAAAATATATAACTGATCTTGGAAATTTTTCATAGTGTTTTATTAAGAGATCACAGATGAAAGGAGGTGCTTCTGAAGGAGCAACCAGGAAAGAAGATCCCTTAAACACCACTGTATCAAACTTTGATCAAGATACCATTGCTGTGAAAGAAAATATTTTTATTTGCATTCACTCCAGGATGGACCAGTGCCTAAAAGCAATGGAGAGCTTTGACTTCACAGAAACAATCAAATGAGTCAAACTATGCTGGCACAAAAGCATTACTTACGCTAATATTGCCAATGTGGGAGAGAAATCAAGATATGAATACTTCAGATATTCAGGGTGTATTATCTGCGTACAGAGATCATAGTGACTGATAAGGGTAGGAAATGCAGTTTTAGATTATAGCTTTGAGACTTCATGGCCAGAGTCCATGGAAGTGCAGGAACATTAGTATTACAGTTCCTTTCCCTGATTCTGGGAGTCAGCATTTATTTAGGCACGGTATAATGTTGCCTTTTGGTTGCTTCTATATCTCTTCACAGAGCATAGCCTTGGAAATCATGAACTATCTCCTAAGCTCACCCTGAATTCATGGAATGGACTGTAGTACTTTATATTATAGCTTATTAACCAAGCCAGCATACTGGAAATATGAGAGAAAGAAACAGTTCTACTAGTATGAAGACAAGAATATCCCAGAGCTGAAGTTCTCTTCTAGATTTCCATAGCTAGTTTCAGGTTTGTTGGAGAAAGAAGCTGTCACTTAGGTTAAGAACCTGAAGAATGAGTTAGTGCAGAAATTACTGTTACCAGTTTTTAAGTGGCAGAATACTTCCGTTATATTGCGTGTTTGAAATGCTTTTGTACTATAGGACAGTGTCTCTGAACATGCATTGCAATTTACCTTCTCATAAACTGAGTAGGTTGAGAAGCTGAGAGCTGAAGCAGGAGATCAGTGTGTGCAACAGAAAAAACGTTTGCGAGACAGAGCAGCAGATGCTAAAAGAATTCAGGATCTTGAGCGACAGGTATGCAATAATATAACTGTGTTTCATTTAACCTTTATTTTAGATAAGGTCTCTTAAAACACCAGTGCTTTCATAGGATAAAACATTGCGTGAAGTCCTATGTTAAAGTAACTTGTGTTGTTAAACACTCATAAATACAAAAAGCTGCAATTATTTACTTAGAAAGACTGTCTTCTTGCTACTATCTTCTAACAAGCTGATATCCCTTTTAAAATCCTTTAAAATACTATTTAGAATTTCTTGGAAAGGGGCAAGAGGGCAAAAGCCAAAGCTTGCTATTTATCTTCTAAGACTCCTTCTGTCCATGTTCAGTAATCCCATAACACTATGATCAATTTCAAACAAGTTGATTCAAGAGTAGGATTGGAGTCCTACAAGATTCATGAGAACTAGGGGAGCGGAGACCTTAAAATCCATGTTTCTACAGAGGAAGTGTCAGGTGGAAGTGGGCCTTCCTGAGTTTTAAGAGATGGCAGCTGCATCATAGAGGGCTGTGGGACTCATGGGAAAGAGCCTCTGCAGAATTTTAATGCAAAGAATATCTCATCCATATATGAGAGAGGGGTGTGTTATTAATCTTGTATGCAAGGTGTTAGTCTTAATTTATTGCAGACTCCAAAATAAAAGACACATATAATCTGTTATTCAGGGAATATTTTCAATACTGCTGTGAAGTATCTCTGTAACAGTTGGAAAAGTACAATGTGAATGAAAATCCAGAAAAAAAGCAAACATACTCACAGCATTAAGTGCCATATTCAACTTAAAGATCATTACTTTCTTAGTACTTCTGACATTAGGCAATCTGAAGACCAGAGCAATATTTTAAGATTATGCTAAGTCAATCAGTAAGAGATGATGAGTCTTACTTTTCTGTAAACAATAGCATAAATGTAAAATAATTCTCAATATATTAATCTCTAAGTTTCTTTCTTCACTCAGCCAACGTGGATGAAATTTGTTAAAGTTCTGTCACTTACTTCTGTTCACTTTTCTTCAGAACTTTATCTGACTTCTGACTTAATTTTCTAATTGATAGATCAGAGAAATGGAAGGAATTCTAAAAAGAAGGTATCCAAATTCTTTGCCTGCTTTGATTTATGCTGCTGCTGCTGCTGAGAAAACGAATGATCTTTCAGCTAAAACAAACACAGTTGAATTTTTGGAGAGAAGAATAAAGAAATTAGAAACAGAACTTGAAGGTAAAGATGATGAAGCTAAGAAAAGTCTCCGTGCCATGGAACAACAGTTTCAAAAAATAAAGGTAAAAGTTGGAACCTTGTAGAATTGTCCACTTTGCAAGTGCAGTGTTTAAAACTGAAGGCAGAGACATTCAAGGGAAAACAAAAATACTCAAAGAATTTATAACCAGAATTTCAGTACCTTCAGCATCTAAGATAAAAATAGCATTGAAATCATTAGGGTAGTACTGAGAATGAGAGGACAGGTTCTTGAGGCATAATAATTTAATTCTTACAATTAAGACAAGTAGTTTTCACCCTGTGGGTCAGAGTAGCTGCTTACCTAATTCCTTGCTGTACCAAAGGCTGTGGTTTCAAAGGTCTGCTGACAGAGCATTTCTACAGGGAACATCCAGGAACACTAAACATTCCGTCAAAAAAATTACATGATCGTGAACCTAAAGACTTGTGTTAGGAAGCATGGAAGTCTGACGTTTTACTTCAAGGAAAAGGTGAACTGCACAGATTCTTAATGAGCAGGAAAGGAAAGCACTGGCCAGTTGTTGCACATTTTCTCCATGTGAATCACTCATCATGCTTTCCTCAGAGGCCATCCAGGCAATTAAGAAGGGTCAGGTTTTCTTAAGCTCATAAGGAAGAAAGATTCTGTGTCTCTCTGAATTCATACTTCTATATTCATACTTACAAATAAATAAAAATGAAGATCTGTTCTGTTAAAATTTAAGATGTTTTGAAAAATGTACAATTTTGAGCATATGACAGGAATGTTTGCAAACTGACACATGGCAAATACATAATGACAAAATTAACTACTTCTTGCTATACTTAAATAAGATGTTACTTTGCCTTTCTGTGTTGGAAACATCTGAAGAGAAGTCAATTATTTAAAAATGAAATAGTTTCTTGTCAATGCAGTTTTTGTCCCATAGTTACTGCATCCATTGTGATAAGATTACTTTGTAGTAAATGTTTTGAGTAATTCTGTTTTACCATAGACTTTTTTCACTCACGAATTTCTGAACTGATTGAGTAGTGTTGTTAGTAATATTGATGTGTATTCTGTTTTGAAATCTTGCTTCAGATGTGCAGTAAGTTCAGAGAATAATAGGAAGAGCTAATAATAAAAGTACACTTATGAAACTGCTTTTTCTTCCCTTCTTCCTACTCCTCTCCTAGATACAGTATGAGCAAAGACTTGCAGAGCTTGAGCAACTACTTGCCCATGAATTTATGAGTGAAACACCAAAACTGAATGGTGATAAAGCTGGTTCTACAGAACTTGAGCAGGAGCTTCGGAATCTAAAGAAGACCCATCAAATCACTGTTAGAAACCTCCAGACAGAAATTGAAAATCTTAAAAGTCAAAATTCCCAATTAAAACTCAGAAGTAAAAATGATAATAAAGATTTAGAGCACACAGACTCTAAAATGAAACAAGGTAACGCAAAAGACAGATTGTTAAAACTAAATGAGGAACTGGTCACCAAAAATAAAGAAATACAAGACCTTACAAAAACTGTCGAGAAACTTCAAAAAGAAAGGATGGTGATGTTGTCTGACAATAATTTGAGAAATATAACCAATAATAAGGAAAACTCTACAGAGGTCGTGAAAAAGAATACCTCAGCAACAGATAAAAGGAATTCCCACTACAGTGAACCCTTTCTAAGCATTTTCAATGATGACAAAATATACCAAGCACATACCTTTTCTGATTCTCATCTCTCAGAAGTTCTGAAAGAAAATGCGCAGCTGAAAGAGGAGCTAGAGAGATTGTCTCTGGAAATGAGCCAGCAGAGGGTAAAGTCTCAAGCAGCACTGGCTTATTCTGAAAATAACATACGAAGGTAAATGCTCAACATGTTCCTTCAAAAACCTTGTTGAAGTGTTGGCTGATGCAGAATTGAAGTGGCATATTAACATGTCAGCCATGTGTGAAGCTAGCTTATACTTTCATTAGTACTGTTTGTTTTGAGAGGGTTTCAGAGGGGTTTTTGGTATTTTGGTTTGGGTTTTGTTTTAAGCAGTGCCCTGTCACAGTTCTCTCTACAGGCAAACCTATCTTAATGCTTTTATTCATGCTACAATTTGTTATGCTTTTAAGTAAAAATATCTCAATGTAAATCATGTAAATCATGTGCTGGAGCTCCCCTGGGAGGCGAATGAGTTGACTAGGGGTGGAGCCCAGCTTGTCCACAAGGGATTTAAAAGGCTGCTGGGAGCACCAGTGACCCTGAGTGCAAACAGGAGCGGGCAAACAGGGACGTAGCATGGCAGTAGGCAGATAGGGAAGTGGCAGTTCACGCAGGCAGGACAAGCAGGAAGGACACAGCCAACCTTCAGCTCAGCTTTTTTTTTTTTCTTTTTGCCTTTTTTTTGCCTTTTTTTTTTTTCCTTTCTTTTTTTTTTTTTTCTTTTTGCCCTATCACCTCCCTGGGTGCCCTTAAAGAACAGGTATGAGGCCTTGGACCCAAAGAGTCAGGTAGAGGACAGTCCAGAGGAAGAGCTGTCTGGAGGGTCTCCCAGTTACACCCTGTCTACCAGACGGATTACAACCACAGCTATAAAGAAAACAGAAGGGTAGTTGTAGTCAGTGACTCCCTTTTGAGGGAAACCGAGGGCCCTATATGTTGACTGGATCCATCCCACAGGGAGATCTGCTGCCTTCTCGGGGCCTGGGTGAGACGTATTAGTAGGAGACTCCCTGAGCTTATTCAGCCCTCAGATTATTAGCCGCTGTTGGTAGTTCAGGCTGGTAGCAAGGACATTAATGGAAGAAGTACCAGGGCGATTAAAAAGGACTTCAAGGCACTGGGTCAGTTAGTTAATGGGACAGGAGCACAGGTGGTGTTCACCTCAGTTCCTGCAGTAGCAGGAATGAATGAGGAGAGGAGTAGGAAAGCCCGTCTTATCAATAGGTGGGTAAAGGTTTGGTGCCACTGGCAGAATTTGGCTTTTTTGACCATGGGGCAAATTCCATGATACCTTGTCTGTTCAGATCGGATGGGCTTCATCTATCCAGGAAGGATGAAACTTATGCAGCCCATAAGTTGGCGGTGCTTAAATGCTTTTTGTTGTATAGCATTAATATTTGGTACCCATACTTGCCTTCAATTTGGGATATTTCAGGATTTACTTGGATATTTCAGGATTCAGCAGGATTTACCTGGCCAACTGTAGATACCTTATATTTATACTTCACCTGGTCTCTCTTAGATCCGTTCATAGTCAAAGTAGAAGTAAATTGGCATATTTATATTGCAAAACATTCTTTTCTAAAATAGATACCTAAAAGAGAAAGTGGCATTATGATTTAAGAGTACTTGTTTTCTCTGTTTTACAAAAGCAGCCAAAAAAAGGGAATTGGCTGAATTTTCTGTATTCTATCTGCCTCTAGTTAAATGAGGCACAAATGCAACACTTTTAGCTTCCCACTCTGTTGTCCCTCCAGAGCAAGTAATGAAGAAATGGTCCTGGTATCTTGCAAGGTTTTGTTATGAAATATCAAAGACCTGCTGCCTTCAACATTTTTGATATTTTCTATCAAAATGAGAAACTTTACTGCATTTTTGAAGAAGTATCTGTTCTTCATAAGCACATACTTGTTTTATTACATATTACGTATTATTTTCGCCTTGCTCTGTTCAGAATACAGGAGGACACAGCAGAATACATTGCATCTCTGAAAGCTTCCCATCAGAGGGAAGTGGAGAAGATTGTTTGCCAGCATGCAAAGGAGCACTCTACTTCTAAAGTAGCTGAACTAAGCAACAGAATTTCAGCACAAGAGGTGAGATACAATAGATACATTGATTACGTATAGATATATCCTAAAGTTATTTCTTTCTCTATACTATAAACTTTATCTTTCTTTGAAGTAGGACCTACTGTTTTAAAAATCAGCCTGTGCCACTGTATTCACAGAATCACAGAATGGCTGAGGTTGGAAGGAACCCCCTGAAGTTCATCTTGTCCAACCCCCCTGCTCAGGAGGGTCATCCAGAGGCAGTTGCTCAGAACCATGGCCAGGTGGTTTTTGAGTATCCCCAAGGAGGGAGATTCCACAGCTTTTCTGGGCTTAATTTTATACACAATATGAAGGTAGAAGGAGTAGCGTCATTTAGATTTTTTTAAGAGCTTTTTTAACTGAGGAAAGTTACTCGAAGACTGAGACTTGTTTTCATATACTGTATATGTACCTGTGTGCTATTTAACAGTCCATGCAGAGGACTAACTAGCACACACACCTGTTAGAGGCTGTATTGTTAATACACACGTCACCTACACCTGCAGTACTACAATACTGATTATATTTTTTCTGTACTTTTCCTGCATAGGTTTTCAAATGTTTTCATAAGTATTTATGTTAATGACCAACTATTTTTAATCTTTTCTGTGCAGGTATTAATAAACCATCTTCAAGAACAAATCAGTGAACAACAGAGGCATCAGGAAGCTCTTTTGGTTTCACAGATACGAGAACAACTCCTACAAAAAGAGGTATATTTAAATTTGGTTTGAGGGTACCTTACTCTAGTAAGAGTTTTCACTTTCATCCTTGTAAAGCCTCAAATAATATAAAGTAAAATAAGTCTTACAAATGCTATCTTTGTCAGTTTCTTCTATAGCAGTTATACCTGAGAATGCAATATGTTATTTTAATGTGAGAGAACAACATAGAACAGAAGTGGAACCTTGACCTTTTTTGAATTTTTTTTTTTATGTTATGATCCTTAATTTGTTAGAAATGTCTGATATCTCTATGAAAGTTGATCAGCAGGTTAATCCAAGCATTCATAGCCTCTACCTTGAGAGTTATGATGGGTAGTAAATAGACCACAGGACTTTTTCCTTATTGAGAGAAATTTTTATTACTGTTTTCAGGTTCTGTGCTCAGATTAAGCTTTCCTTTTTCAATTCCTTCATTGACATAAAACTCACTTAGGCACTTATATTCTTGGTTTTCTCCTCCACTATCTATGAAAGTTAAGGTCTCTTAGGAAGGGAAACTTAGTTGTAATAGTTCTGAAATTCACTGGGTTTTGAGAAAGCTATATAGTTTTTTTCTGATCTTCCATTTCTACTAATAGCATATAATCTAAAAATTACATTTGTTCTTATTTTTGCTTTTGGGGTAATGTTGTGTGAAATTGCTGTCTATCTTTTAGCTCAAATTTTTTTTAATATATGCTTTTGTTATTCTTGAAGTATTGCCAGTCTTTTTGTTACCACCTCTTGTTCAGGAGGAGGATGTAGCCTGTCTGAGCTTTGTGCCTATACTTAATTCACCATCTCTTTGATGTAAGAACATTAGTAAGTGTAACTTAATTTTGATAATAATCTAATCTGCAAGGGCTACTAAAAGCAATTGATCTTAATCTCACGCCACTCAGTATTTATCTTACCCATGCAAAATTCCACCTCTGCTGTAACATATTTATGTAAAAGTGAGGGGTTTTAAGGTGTTGTATTAAATAAGTTCTGTATTTGCAGAATAAAGGCTGAGACTTTGGGTTCATATTAAGAATCTAATGATAGATGTTACCCTTCCATATAAAGCTTGTTTCATTCCAGTGGTCTCAGGATAAATAATAATTCTTCCTGGGAAAACAGGGCAAGAGTGCAGTGAAACAAATATTTGTTCCTCTATGACTGCTTTACAGATTATTAATGACAGTGATGGTTTAAGAGCATGGTCATCCAATCTGACCCCCATTTTACAGGCCAAATTCAAAGTGCTGGCATTTAAGGAAATGTAAAGGAGTGTCTTTGTTACAGAAATCTTTGCATGACTGTACAGAGAAATGTCTACATAAAGCCTTGCTTTTGCGCTCCAGTGTGATTGCTGTACTGCTTATAAAATAAATTTTAAGCATTAAATGTTTAAATGAGCTGAAAAAAGAAGACAACAAAACCTGCAAATTGAATTAGTAATGATAGGGAATAGCACCATAATTGGTAACAGGATGAAGTCCTCTGTCTAAAATGATGGTTCCTCGAAAAAGGCAGATTTTTTCCTGAGGCTTCCTGGAAGATTGTTATTTGAATACTAATTTCAGAAATGCTGTTTACGGATGTTTTCCATTAACTGTGTACTTCTCTTCCATAACAGCTTGCACGTATCACAGCGCTGTATTTGACAAGGTTCTGTTGTTGGCAAAACACACGGAGCCCATTTTTCCTGGGGCTTTTTCACCTCATGACATCTTTCGAGCGGAATTTTTAAATTATATTTAATTATATATGTGAGATCACGCATCAGCCCTTCCTTCCAGCGGGGCAACTTAGCAGTCAAGCAGCAGACACTCAACTTTTATGGACCTTATGAAACAAAGACTTCTGCTCCCAAATGTGGCTGAACTTGGCCCACAGGTTCAAAGCTGCTGGAATAATGGACAGGCAAAAATGCACTAACACAGTCCATGTTATTTTAGAAGGCTACCTTAAAAAGGGAAATAATAGAATCCAGCTTAGAGTCACTTCTCAGTGAGAGTGACAACATCTTATGAAGACATAATGCTTCCAGCTACTTGAACTCAGCAGCAGAGAGCCAAGGATGGCTGAGTGCTTGAAGAGGGTTAGAAGCTCGCAAATATAATGGTTAAGGGGAGCTAAGGGCTATCATTAAGGATAAAGACTTCAGTGTTTTCACTTGAGTTTACTTATACACATTAAGAGTAACCAAAAAATACCTAGGATGTTAAATGAAGGAATATCAAGTTACTTAAAATAGGCAAAGAATGAGAATAAACCAGTAGGGCTTTAAAAGAAAACTTATCTTATTTTCTGGAGGATGAGGAAATCAGTTTTAGGTCATTGGTTGGGTTGATTTGACCTGGTAATTATTAGACCGAAAGAGGCCTGTAATCGTGTCTGTTAGTAGCATGTCTTTCCTCAATTTAGTCTTTAGAAATACACTGGTACATTTTATATTTGGTCCTTATCCAGGGTGTAAGAAGATCTAGTTATAATATTCTCTTTTTTCTTTTTTTGTATGAAGTATGAAAATTGACTGAATACAATTACTTCATAACATTATGAACACGATTGGATTTATCAAAGAGGACTAGACTTTCATATTCTCAGCTACTTATAAGAAGTGACAAATCTTAATCTCTGAACCCCTGTAAAAGCTTTTGAATAAAGGAGATTTCTGTTTTATGTCTTCTGTTCTGCTGATTTTGATTGGAATGATTAAACAATGCAAATACATTTTGAAAGGAATCTGTTTTATACAGTGCGTAACACGATGATAACAATTTTCATTAATTCTCTTTAACTGTAGGTGACAAAATTGTTGGAAGAACTGAGAGAGGCTAAGGAGAACCAGAGTCCTGAAATGAAACATTTCTTGTGCCTGGAAAAGAAAATCAAGCATATAGAGACCAGACGTGCAGAAAGAGAGCAAGAAATTCAAAAGGTACACCGGAGTATAACTGCATTTATTTTCCAGAGAAATTTATTGGTTTAACTGTAATTTTATGGTATTTGCACTGGCTCATTTAGCTCGCACTGCAGGGAGGGCAAGTACTTTTTCTGCAGCCAAGGTTTTGTCTTTGCTGCCTGCTGATGCCAGTGAATGTAGATGCAGCCCTGGTCAGCCCATCCTTGGTGTGGTAATTAAAATTACTTGTGCATAACTCACATATCAGGTGTGTAACTTACTTGCAACCTGATCTGAGAAGGCCTTGATATTGTAGAGGGTTGGATCACGTGACCTCTGGAGGCCCCTTGTATCATTTGGTTATTTCATATTTCAGTTACACGAGGAGAGCAAGGTACTGAAAAACTGACAAGAGTTTCTAATGCAGAGCTTGTTAAGCTACAATATATTCCTCAGTTGAACTGTCATTTTATTTTCTAGTCCCAGCAATGCTATTCAGAAAAGCTGCGTTAAAAGTGTAGACACATCTTATAGCGGTCTACCTCATTCTGGTTTTAATACCTGAAACAATAAAAAACGGCCTTTATCCTCCAAAAACTAAAAGTTTGTGATTTTGAAGATTGGATCTTTGTGATACAGTTTTTTTTGTAGCTTGAATGGGTAAAACAATTTTTCCTTGTTTTTTTTCATCTTTATTCTATGTCATGGTCTCCATCCTGATTTTTTATCTTTCAGGGGAGTTTCTGTCATCTGGAAAGAGTTCTCTAGTTCATGTAGATTTTTTTTCAACACTTGTATCACTTAGATATATGACTGTCCTTTGTTAATATTTTAACTTAGGTTTTACTTAAATATATGAAGTCAAAAAAAGGGCAGTTGGACAAGAAGATTGTCAAACCTGTAGTACTTACTTTGGGGGGTTGGTTCTACAATTTTAAAACCAGATCTCAAGGAATACACTTTCATGTACAGAATTTTTTTAGTGGTAGAAGGTTTTATTCTTACACATTTCTACATCACAGATTTCATTTTCTTTCCAAAAAGAGCTGCGCATAAAACAAGTCATTGGATTAAGAACAAACCCTGCTGCCACTAAAGATTTTATTATTTTTGTTCACGTTATATCCTGCTAGAGGCAACTGTAATGCAGTTCATTTTTATGCTATTCATTTGCTTTTGTATAATGTGAGGATTTCTTTACCATTTCTGTAAAGTGTTTGTGCTGCCTATTCTGGGATCTAACTCCATTGAATACCTGTAGTACTTACTAAGATGTTGTATAATGTATTGTATTAAAAAACAGAAATAAGAGAACGCATACATAATTACTACTGAGTAATTCCATCTTTCCTCGTGCTGCTGCCCTTATTATGTATTAAGCTTTGGGTTTTGTTTATCCTAGTTTTGTACCTTTAACCATTTGCACTGGGGCATCAAACAGTCCCCCAAATGAATGATATAAAAATGAACAATGTAGAAAAGGTAATTGCTGAGCAAGGAATTAACAGGCTATCCTTAGTATCAAAATGCAAATATGATAATTATGGCCTTTAAGTGGTAGAGCTTTCCTTGAAGAATCTATTACAATTAATAGCCGTATGGAGATTTTGATACCTTATGACACTTTTTATTTCGTGTAATTTAATAGGATTATGTCAGGGATTTGTGTCAAAGTTAATGCAAACTTTTATCTGCAGCAGAATCAGATCTTTGTGACTACAGAACATCTTCTAAAAATTCATAGGACTTTTGTTTTTTATAAGTACAGTAGTAGCCTACAATATGTCATCAGATTTCATTTGTTTGTCTTGCACAGGATTCTTTTAATTAGAACATTTAAATGGCAGTTAAAGTTAAATTTTATTATGGGGGATTTTATGTTATATGCTCAGCTTTATCTTAAATATTCAAACCTTTAGTTGCCACTTCGGAGAGGATAAGTTAAATTCTCTTGAGGCTCATTAGTCAATAACTGATTCTACCCTTCTGTCATTAATGCAACTATTTAAAGGAATTTATTGCTATCAGAATGATTTTTGCAATACTCAGAACAAATTGTTTCCACTTAATGTCAGCATTTGGCTGTGAGACTCAGCATCAAATATAATGAAGTGGTGTATTTCTGCAAAGGAGCAGTGGTGGCTGAGTATTGGAGTAGGAAGTTTCAGTGCTGACTTGCTTCTAATTTACAGGCAACCCAACTAACACATCACGTTACTGAAGCAAGGCAAACTCATGAGGCTGAGAAGTGGCGAAGACTGGCACAGCAGAAAAATCAAGAACTGGAGAAATTTCGAGTGGAATTGGATTCAATATTAGATGTTTTACGTGAACTGCAGAAACAAGGGGTTGTTATTCCTGCGCCTGATTCTGTTGGATTCAGAATGACAGACAGCTGCTGGAAGACATGATTAGGTAGTAGTTGATTAGAGAAGTAGAATTTTAATGTTCAAAGTTATGTGTAGAAAATGTTACTGAAAATCAATAATGTAACACACATAAATTGAATTGCATTCTGATTTTATCTGTAATCTTGCATGTCCAAAGGTAGACGTGCATTGAGCAATACTCTATTCATTTTGTATGTCTTATATTTTGTTAGTAGTAAGGTTACATACAATTTTTTTGTAAATAATAGGAATATTGAGGTTATTCCATAAATTCAATTACCTCTGAAAAATACCCTTCTTCAGATACTGTAGAACATGCCTGAATATTTTTAACTTTTGTTTATTACTTGTGTTATCGTGATTCCTTTGTGAACAATTTGAGTAATTAGCTGTTTTAGTATATAATGTATTTCATTCTGTAGGGCAGGAAAATCATCTTTTTTCCATCATTTCGCTTCTCTCCCTCCAGTTCATATAATATTCCTTCCCTTATCTTTAAAATCCCTTCCAACTTAGGGAATGACTGGAGGGCTGGAGCAGTGCAGACATTCCCTGGTGATGCTCAGATTCAAACTGTTTACTTTTCCGATATTTCCAACTGTGCTGTTCAGAATGATGGCAGAGTGGTCTGGCTGAATTGTTATGGAGCAGATTTAAAACAGGCTATAAAATACAGAGTAGATATTGGTATCCCTTTAAAAGGGAAGGCCATATTGCTTAAGGTTTTTACAATGAGCTGTTCAGAATCTGACACTGTAATATCTTCATAGATGGTTTTGACAGACCAAAGAGGCCAGTCAGATGTGAAGACAGTGTGCTAAAGCTCAGACTGCAGGGATGTGTCAGTGGGTAAATTTAGAGTTAAAATACTGAGCAACTTAGAAAAGGGATGAGAGATAAAAAATCCAACAAACTAATATTGTCCTTGAGAGTGATAAAAGAGACTCGTATACTTAAGCAGGAGTAATCCACTATATAATCCAAATACCAAATGTGGATGTAACGTTCTGCTGAACTGACAGGCATCATGGCAGGTAACAAGCAATGTTAGAGACTATTGCCTCCTCCCTTTCCTTGGGCCCTGCTGGACTTACTTACGCATCTGTGCTGTAGAGCACGTACGTAGGAGCAATTCCTACTGCATCACCAAGGTGTACCTGAGTGTGTGAAGCTTTTGGTCCCCTGTTTCAAGAAATGGCCCCAGTGGAGGGAAAAGAAAAATTGTCACAGTAAAAAATGCGGCCTTAGGAATCTCTGAAGCCACAGGGGCTGCCCTATTCCAGAGAGGAGACTGGGGAGGCAATATGAGCATGGCTGTTATACTTGACATATATGAAAAGCCTGCTGCTAAAAGGAAGAAGCAGTAAGTTAAAATAAAGAAAATTCAAGATGGATAGCTATTTGGTGGTTGGAAGGGATGGGTTTCCAATAAATCAGTAAATTATTAGTTTGAAGCTTCAGTGCTTCATGTCCTTAAGAATCCCATAGCACATACATTGAGGTTGTAGCTCAATCGACTATACTCATTTAGGGCAAAGAGAAGATAAAAGCTAGAATGTACTCTTCAGGTCCCTGTGGTATTAGTTGAAGCTATCATTTAAATCAAATGTGAAACAGTTCAGGCCTGTGCATGTGTATTTATGTGTCGTATTCTTCAGGGATCAGCAATAAATGTGCACCTTCTCTCATACAAGCATGTGACTGAGCATGCATAAAGAACAAAAGGATGTAACAAATTATACCACAGTGCCTAAGTACAAGGTTTGAGGGTTTTTTTGGCACATACACAAACATAAAATGAGACTTTATACACATATATATAGAGATATTAAAAAAGTTTGGCCAGTTGCCAATTAATATAGTAATCTTGATGTTTTCATATTCAGATATTTTCAGGATTTCTACTGTGGATATTTTGATCCCATCTAAAAATGCTTTGTATATAAAATATCGGCTCTGTGTAAATATGTATCTGTATATTACTGATTTGGGTCTGTTTTGCAAATGAAAAGAATAAAATTTAATAATATTGCAACTTACCATTTACTTCCTGTACAATGTGCTATACATGTAAGACTGTATTGAAGTGTGTGACCTGAAGTGTGAACTTTTAAAAAATTACAGCAACCCTTGTGTTCCCAGAGTGGTCAGCTCCTGGATGGAGGTACTCTAGGGCACTACCTAGGACAGGAATCCTAGAGGGAGTATTTCTGGTTACTGGAAATTCTCTTAAATGTTTAATGCTTAGGTCATCAAAAGAGTGCCTTAGTGTTCATGTCATTGAAACACTTTTTAAAATTCTTATAGTCAGTTCTCAGCAAATGCTGTTATCTTACATAGTTTGAATTAAATTCTCTGTCTATTTTACTGAGCAGGGACAGTAGTATTTATCATTATTGTAAGATACAGTATGGTTTATACTGTGCTCTAACATGTATTTATGTAGTTGTACACTCACTGAAGCATGGTCTCCAGTTTTTAAAGCATTTAGCATGAAGTGGACACTCCACACAGTAACAGACTCTCTCTGGCCTTGAATGACTGTAGTGAGGTGTTCCTTTTGGAGGACTAAGGCCCAAGTTTTAAATTCTCTGCTAAAGTTAGTTATTTACTCTCCAGCAGTCTTCACAGTACAGAAAGGGAGAAATATCCTGAAGTGGAGCAAAGGCTGAAACAAGTTGTTAGCTTTTACTAACGATTTCAGTGGGATCATTCCAGGAGTTATGTAATTATATACTCCTTATGTATGTTTCTCCTCTTGTGCTGTCCTATTTCATCATGCATTTCCAGGAGGCAGCATAATGGATGGATTAAAAGAATTAAACAGAATGTCCTTGAATCATTATCTAATGCTTAGCTGGAATTCGTCTGTTTACAGCAAAGCAGGTGGAGTATAATAATTTGAATTGTCACGTTTGAAGTTTTTAAAAAAATTGAGTGAGCAGTTGGCTAGGTGACTCAGTGACCTAGATTACAGAGAAAGCATTGCTTCTGGAGAGGTAAACAGGGGGTGCAGAAAAGGATCAGATCTCATCATGGCACTTGGGGCAGAGACAGCAGCAATGTGTTCCATTTCAGGTTCTCTGAAATACAGGTCAAAATTGTTCATGTAGCAAATTAAGTAGGTTATCAGGTATGAAGACTTTATTTGATAGCGCATACTACATTTTGAAGTTTGCCACTCTATCCCCTATTTCAGCTATTTTGGAAAATATAAGGATAAATGATGGGTGTACTAGCACTAGCTGTGCAAATCCACTTCTGCAGGGAAGGGGTGGCCTTGCATCAAGTGCTGCCCTGACTCTTTTGAACGGAAAGTTCCATGATAACTTTGAATTATAATTTGCCTTTCATACAGCTAACCACATAGCTCTTGTCCAAAAACAAGATAGCACGTGCCTCCAAGTCTTGCTCTTGTTCGAGAAGGGAGAGTAGAAGGTTCTGCCTTCTGCTGTCCTTGCTCCTGTCACTACCCAGTGTGGGAACAAGCTGAGTCAGATGTGTCTGCATTAACTGGAATCAAAAGGAAGTGTTTTGGCCCTGGAGCTGAGAAGGAGTGTGTGAGTTTGCAAAAGTCCTGGGAATTCTAGTTAACTGAATGGCAACAGCAGGTTCTGTTTACCTGAAGAGATTAATAAAGGGAATGCGGAGAGATATGTGGACAAATTCTGAAATCGAATTCTCTGCGTGTGTGCAGCCTCATTTCTTCAGTGCCCATATTTGCCATACCTGAGGCTAAAAAGTGGCAAAAAAATGTGTTATTCAAGATCTAGAGCTCAGGTGCATAAATACTTAACTGCACAACAAACATACATCATTTACTTCACCTTTTAGTCTCAACTACTGTATAGCACTAGATTTTAGTAGAGAAGTTCACAGTTTTACCTTTCTTTTCTCTATGAGCAGGCATTTTCTGATTTTGGATTTAAGGTTTGGGGTTTCTTTTTTTAAAAAAAGGTACACAGCTAAAACTTGTTTGCACAGAAGAACATTTTGCAAGTATTCACCTTTGAAAACTGGAATACATAACTCAACCTAGTAAGTTCTTACAGAACACAAGACATGTTTATGCATGTAGTTACCTTAGAGGAGCTTCTCTGCAGTTAGATCTACTGCAGGTGATGCATCTATCACAAGTTTTGAGAAGAGGCTTGAGGCCAAGCAATACAAAAACTCATCAAAGTTCCGTTTTCAGACACCACTAAATTCCATCTATTCATTTTGAAGGATTACTCTGGTCAGAACACTTTCTATTCACTTCATAACGAATGCACTCTGGCTTCCTGGATAAAGATTAATTTTTTTAAACGTTATACATTGCCCTTTTCCCCTGAGGCAAAATATATCTGTTAGTTCCTAAAAAGGAAAAAAGGAAGGAAAACGAAAGGAAGAAAAGCTTTAAAATAACTGCTTTTGGAGACTGCAGAACATATCTGCAATTACCTTTGACTCCAATGCAGAGGCAGAACGAAAAACTGAATCAGACTGTATTGCTGCCACTGTGTCTCTGAAGTGGTGGGAGAACTTTGCAATGGGGACTGCCAGGTTATTTTTCTGTAAAAAGCAGCATGAAGGACTTTAAAAATAGAAGGGAGATAAGATGAAAAAAAGTATAACCACCATCGGGGAATAACAGGGAGGAACCAAACCCTTAAATAGCTTTACAGGATTAATACATGCTTCAGAAGGACATTGAGAATACAGTTCAGATGTGTTGTTAGTTAAGTTGACATTATCTCTTTTTCATTTTATTAAATACCTTTTATCTAGGCATTGTCACCAGCATCCATACACAAAATGCTTTCCCCTTTTCTCCCCAAAGTAGCACTTATACACCCAAAGAAAAGCTGCAAAGGTCTAAGGTAGCAGAAGAAAAGCCTTAGACTAGCCTACTGGGAATGGCAGCATTTTCTTTTTCTAAAATCAGATCTGCATATTTTGAAACATCTGAAACTTTTACGATTTCTTCCCCAAAAGGTTTGTCAAGCATTGAAACAGGCTTGCTCGGGCAATGGTGGAGTCACCATCCCCGATGGATTTAAAAAGACATGTTGATGTGGCACTTGGGGACATGGTTTAGTTGTGGCAGTGCTGAGTTAATCCTTGGACTCAAGTGATTTTAAAGATCTTTTTCCAACCTAAATGGTTCTATGAAACAGAGTTTTAAATGCTCTAAAAATAACCTTCATTCCTGGATTGCAGAGAAGATGGATTCTACACAGATTTTCCTCTCCTTTAAGCAGCACTTCTGTTTTCGAGCATGGCAAAGGAAGAAAAAAATTAAAAAGAATGGCTCAAACGTTACTGAAGGCAGCTCACTAATCCAGAAATAGGCTATAAAAGCCGTGCTTAGTAAAAGTCCCAGAACTTCTTTGCAAGAACAGT